GATTTTTCGGGTAAACAATTGCTAATAAAGACATTTAGTAGTATTATTTTTACCCAGGTTGCCAGGGAAATGGGAATAGTAACTTATTGTGCTAAAAGAACATGAAAAAAGGGATGATTCAGAGATCAAATGGACAACCTTCCAATTGACTTGAGCAGCAATCAACAGCAAATAAGACAAATTACGTTGAGTCAAGCACTAACTTTTATTTATTTTCACCTTTACAAAGTCTTTTCCAATTAGCAGTCACAAAAATGTAAAATCTTATTTTCAAGTCAGCATAATAAACGTATAGTAGGAAACTAGAACCTGTGACTGGCACTTGGAACACTAATTCAGAAAAGTCTAATTTTGTAATGATGAGGCTTAATTACCAATAAGATAATGAATGTGTTGATGATGAGATTGAGAGGTACCTAAACTTGTTGGTGTCAAACTTGTACAACACAATTTATTAGCTAAGTTACCCCTACAACTTTCTTCCACGTTTTTGGCGGATTCCTATGGGCATACACATAGTTTTCTTATTTTTGAAGTAACTAAGTACTACTATACAAGTTTCCATAAGCTGTGGGTGTAATTTTCAACAAATGGTAATTTTCTCTTATTTAGCATAATATAAACGTATACCAATTTATTTTATGAAAAGTAATTCTTCAATAATTGAGAAGTTTATTTATAAAAAATATAAAACAAAAACTACTCTTTTTTGAATTGCGGAGAAACTTCCTTATGAATAAAATTAATTTAATTGAAAAGGAATTGGCGAGAATATTACGCGTAAAACCACAGTGTGTCAAAGGAATTTATATACAAGTTAAGGGGGCAGAGTATGTATTAGGCCAACATTATTTAACCTTCCAATATGTATTTAAGTTAAATAAAATTAGACAACAATACAAACTAAATATTAGCAATATTTATGAGTTTATGATAAGGTTTGATTATATTATAGAGAGTTGTCGTAAAGCTATATATAGTAAATGATCACTAATTAATGAGAATTCCATATATGCAATATTTGAAAATATGAATAAATATTATTTGAAGTTTGAGTCAATTATCCGCTTGGATTTGAAGTAGTTCAATCTCTTTAATGCTAATTCAGAAATCAAACCTGAAGTTCTTTTATCTTTCAAATGCAACTTCAGAAAAATCTTATGTAGTTCGCTTTATTGAATGCAACAACAACAACTCAGTATAATCCCACTAGTGGGGTCTGGGAAGGGTAGTGTGTACGCAGATCTTACCCCTACCCTGGGGTAGAGAGGCTGTTTCCGATAAACCCTCGGCTCCCTCCCTCCAAGAACTCCCCACCTTGCTCTTGGGGTGACGCAACTTCAAAAATTCCAATCTTGAGTAGTTCACTCTATTGAATGCAACTTCAGATTTCGAATCTTAAATTCTGAAACATAAACTTGTTTTTTGATTTTCAACAATTCAATACACGATTCAATGCCCAAATCTACTTTAAATGAGCTCAAATTTGAAACATAACTTTCAAATATCATAAATAACAAATCTCGATCATCAAACTATCGAAACAACAATAAATTTAACAAATCCATTTTGCAACTAAAAAGAAGAAGAAAACAAAATTAAAGAAAAAGAGAAAAGTATATATATATCCGAAGTTATCTAAAAATTAGGTATCAGTTAAACTTTTTCTAAAAAGTGAATATAAATTCAACGGATGATGCAAAATTGGGTGCCACATAAAATTTTTGTCTTTCACTATGGTTGTCGGGCCTGGGCGGTAACTAGTTTAAGGAGAAGTTGTACTATGTGAGTTTCGCGAAGTCTAGTTTATTTCGAGTTTCAATTAAAATGGAAAAAATGGAAGTTGTGGTAGATTAGAAGATAGAATAAAAAAGATAGAATAAAAAGGGAAAAGGGTCAAATATACCCCTTTACTTTTGAATATTGTCTACATATAACTTCCATTATATTATCCGGGCAAATTTACCCTTACCATTATTCAATCTGGCCAAATTTACCTCTACCATCAGCAAATTTTTAAAAATTACCCCTTGATCTGTTAGATAATCCAAAATCTCTCAAATCCCTTTTGTTTAAATCACTTATTGTTATTATTGCTCCCTATTTTCAGAAATTAATATTGATGTAAATGCTAAAGGTACTACACTATACAAATTATTCATGAATATTTTTAATTACCATTACACCCACTTCTCTTCTTGTGATAATGGTGTGCATTGGTTTAAATTTTATTTATTTTTCAATCATATTCACACCGTAGAATTCAGTAGGTTTATTTATTATGTATTATATGCAGTTGCTCATCATGTATGTACATGTATATTCGAATATATTTTGTTATTGTCCGGTTAGTATAGAATTTGATCGACTAACTTAAGAGTGCACAATGCGTAGGCACTTGATTAAAACAAAGTTGAATTCGACAATGTAAAGTATCCAACGAAGTTCAACTTATATCATTAACACTTACAAAGTCTCCATACTTTTGGTGCAACGAATTCATTAAAGTTGCGGTGTTGAAAATACTTTTGGAATTTAGATAAACTACCTAATTTAGATTCTTCAATTTACTATACTTTGTTTACTAACCATTGTATTATTTTAATATTTCTTTCTCTTATTTTTTTTTCTAATTAAGAAAGCAAGTAAATGCCAACTATTTCGAAAATAGTGAATCAAGAAGAATAGTGACGTAATTAAAATGATTTGGAAAATTTTGGATCACCTGACAGACTGAGGGGTAATTTTAAAAGTTTGCTGATGGTAATGATAAATTTGGCTGGATAATATAACCTTAGGGATAAATTTGGTCGAATAGTATAACGGAGGATTGATGTAGACAATATTCGAAAATAGAAGGATAAAATTGGACCTTTTCCCGAATAAAAATTATCTTAGATTTGTAGAGGAATAAGGTGAAATGGAAATAGACGATTATAGTTATCTTAACTAATTCAGAAGTGAGGCTTAGTTAATTGATTAGTAATATAAAAAAAAATGTAATTTTTAAAAATTTGCTAAGAGGCTTCCGATTTCACCTAGCTAATTTTGAAGGTTTAATGTGTGAGTGGATAAATTATTATAAACTTAAGATATGTCTATGATGTGAAGTGATGAGTTATTTAAAGACAACAAGATTCTTCATTTCGTCTGAATTTCTTAATTATTAATTCCTTCTTAGGAAAAGCCGAGAGGAGTAGTTGAAGTTTGGCCTCTCCAGATTAATGTAATCAAGAGTTAATTAAAGCCTAATCCTGAGAATGATTGAAGGAAAGGAGCTCTTTTTTTTTCTTTCAATTTTTTTTTTTTGTGTGCGCGGAGGGAAAGCAAAATAGAATAGCTGCTAGATTGTTCCTTTGAACCACTGATAGGCGTATAATGAATTACTTTAATTAAAGGTCTTCGTTTTGAGCTTTAAAAAATAAAATAAAATAAAATTTGATAAAGAGCGTTTCTTCTTTAATGGCTTTTATGCAATATAATTTGAATTAATCAGATCAAAGAATTTCAAATATTCGTTGATTAAATACAGAAATTATTATTCAAATCATAAGGTACATCAATTAACTATTGATTAATTCAGTTTTGTATAATTTTTTTGTATAATTTTTTTGTATCTAGAGGACTTACTATTAGGTTATTTTTTTAATCATATTTTTATATCCTTTGACTCTTTGAGAGCTATTATTATATAATATAGTAAAATTGTTTGTTGGAAAAAAAAAAAGTTCATTCCAACAGTAACATGAAGGATTTAAATTTAGTAACTTCTTGACCACTACTATTCTCTTCATTGAATTCGATGTCTTGTACAATTGTCTTTTGTGAGCAATAAGAACAGTGGACCACGCTATACCTCTCTACTGGAAAAAAAATAAAAATAAAAAATAAAAACCACATATGAAAATAACAGATTTCTTGCAACGTGAGATCTCTTGTGGAGTCATTTTCAATAGTATACAACAACAATATACCTAGTGTTATTTCATATCGTGAGATTTGGGGAAGTTAGTGTGTACGCAAAACTTATTCTTAACTTGTGAGTATAGTGAGGTTGTTTCAAATAGACCATCGGCTCAGGATTACATAAGTAACACATTAATAAAAATATAGACAAAAAGAGACCGCACCACATTTTTAATAGTATGCGTAGGGTATTTAATCATTATCATAAAAATATCAAGAAACAAAGATCCACCAACGCCTTGAAAGCTGAAGCAAAATATACTGATGACACTACAAAAGGAAAATAAAAATCCCAATTATTAGAAATAGAAGTCCCTTATCTCTAATTCTTTATTCATCACTGCTCGGACCCACTAATCTTCTACTTATCTATTCATCGAGTCAGCAAGATAATTTGTATTATACTAATATTGCTTTTTACTATTATATATACCACTCCATTCATCTTTATGGTTGTATTTCTTTATTAGTTCATTTATATAAAATTTTGAAAATATTTATTTCAATATTTTATTTTATTCTTTATAAGAAAATTTATTATGTGAAGACCATAAGTTTCAAATATATTATAATCATACAAATACTATAATAAGATCATAATTTTTTTTTTAATAAACTCAATGCTCAGTTAGACTAGCCATATAAGTTGAACGGAAGGAGTATACAATTCTAAGCAGAACATAATTTTCACTAGTTCATATGTGTCAAATATTTACTCATATATAATGAAAATTGTACTCGTAAAGATACCGCAAAAGCAGCAGCTTGTATAATCGCCTTTGTACACAATTATCTTCCTTTTTTTCCTTCCCTTCAAATTCAAATGTACTTTTNGGAATTTTGAGGCGTATAAGCTAAAAATAGTGTACTTACATATGAATTATACAAAATTTCTATTTTTCTGAAGAAAATATGAAGGGGAAAAAACTTATCATGCTAATGACGTCGTTTAGGAGAAAAGCTCCTAAAACGACAGTGCAGAATGTGCAACTGCAAACAAAAACCGACAGAGAAAAGGTGGGATGATAAAAGTAACTGAAAAACAAAAAAAAAAAAGGAAGAAAAGGATGCTGAAACTGCTGGCGCTGAGAGGTGGCGTGGTGGGTCTCTTGTCTCTGACAAAAGATGAGTGAAAATCGTGTCCTCTGAACATCAAAGTAAGAAAAAAAAAGCAAAAAACTGAAACTTCATCCAGATTATAAACCTTCTCTTGCATATCCATACTTCACTGTTTTCAGATCTTTTCTCTGGCCTTACTGTAAGTGTTCGCACATAATTGTTTATTTTAATTAACATGTTTGGACTTTGAAGTGCTTGGTAATTTTCTTGTTATTATTAAAATATTTGCTTGTGGTGTTCTTGTTTTTTCCTTCCTTTTGCTATTTTCCATGTTGGTTTTGGGGGTGGAGTTAAAAATCTTAGCTTTTTTTGTTGTATGGTTATGCTATCTGCTGCTAATGATTATGTATAGGTTTTCATGGGATTTGAGAGTTAAAAATTGTTTGACTGATGCTTTTGGTTCTTAATTGTGCAAGCTTAATTCAAGTTCTTTGTGAGAGTGAGAAATATCTAGTTGCTTGTTAACGCCTGTTCTGTTTCTTTAATATCTACTATGAATTATTTTAATGGGGATGAGTTTTGGATTTGATCTTGCTAATTTGGAGGTGTTGTTGTGCATGTGGTTGTGTAAAGTTCTCTCTTTTGGGGTATTTGCTATTAGTAAGACTAGTAAGTTGGTTCCCAAGGGAGATGATTTGGAATAAGTAACTAGTGGTTGAAATTCTTTTCAAAAGGGAAAGAAAAAAAGATTCTTCCAGAAGATTCATGTTCTTATTTCTGAAATTAAAAAGGGATTTTGGGGTAAATTTGGATTCTTTGGTCAAACATCTTGAATGGCACTTCGATTTTGATGTTGCATTATGATGTTACTCAGCCTTCACCTTGAAGTAGGGAGCTTGCGGTTCTGTTTTGAGAATCTGTCAGCGTGAGAGGGCGGTTCTGCTTGCTTTTAAACCCACTCTATTTTATAGTATTTGGTGGTAGATTTAGACTGTTTGTAACAGTGAGGTCGCCTAATTAATCAACAACAACAGCTACGCCTCTGTCTCAAAGAAGTCGAGGTCGATTATATGAATCCTCATTGACTATGTTCCTCCATTTAAAATCATCTCAAGCCACAACATACCAATAAGGCCGCCTAATTAATGCGTGCATCAATTTACCATTGTATTTTTAGGTATGGCTGTCTTTCGGCAACTATTTTCATTATTACTTCTCTCTTCCAAAATGTGATGTGTAGCACAAATAGGAATACAACAGGCATTAGCTTCTTCATTCACCTGATTTTGTTGATGGAACTAATTCTCTATTTGTACATATTAATCATCAGGAAAACTTCAGACAATGAGTCTCTTCATGTGTTTCCTTCTCTTCTTTGCCTAATTTTTAGTGTGTGTTTGAGCTTTCCGTTACCTTTTACCAAAATTACTTCCTTGGGGTAAAAGATGAACGGATTAGATCAATGCAAGAGGATATTGCTGATAGTTGTGTTCCTGGAAATGTTTTATGTGGTACAAAACTTTGATTAACTTTCTCATGATTGGTTTTGGTAGTAATGTCCTTTCACTCAAGTCCCCAGTCTGATGCATGAAACCTGACTCCTTCAGTGTCTGATAGATTTTGTTCTGTGACAGCAAAATGTGCAGATTACTGGCTTATTAATGGCTGTGGCAGAAGCAAGAACTGCTTGGCAAAGAGCAGCTAATCGTTGCTTGGTCCAAGAAGATGCCAAACGAGCTCCAAAGTTGGCATGCTGCTCATCAGCGTCACCCTCATCGAAACAGGTTGATACTGGGCCTGCAAATGGTGCTGATGCACAAAATCCGTCTAGTACATGTTTCCTGCCCTTGAACAGGAACTCTTCATATTGTGATTTATCCCCTAATACAAGATGGTGGCTGCATCTTCAACCTAATTATGGGTATCAAAGAGGCTTAGTGAGTGAAACTGTAGATTCTCAGGAAGCAGAGATGGAGAATATTGGTCCAGTTTTAGATTCGACCCCCAAAAATAGCAAGTTCTGTGATCAGAGTGAAGCAGATGGTGGTTACATGGATGAAGTCACAGTTGGTGGATCTCTAGATTATCAGGTTAAAAGATCTGCAAGCCATGTAAATAGTGACTTGGAAGTTGGAAGCAAAGAACTAATAGATGTGTTCACTGAGATTTCCAAGGATGGTCTTCACCTTGAGGACACAGGGTATCCATATGAAGAAAGTAAGAAAGATATGGTTGATTTCACAGTGTGTAAACAGGTTGATGAGCTTTCGTTTGATAGGGAGTATCCTTGGATTGGTGTTGAGAAAACCGAGCCATGGTGGCGAACTGCAGACAGAGAGGAACTTGCTTTATTGGTTGCGCAGAGATCACATGATTTTATTGAGAACTGTGATCTTCCCCAGCCACAGAACAATTTTGTTAAACGGGATCACGATGTGGATGTTGATACTAAGATTTATGATGCTTCTGTGAGTCCCAAATCCAGAGATATGTCTCGCGACAGTGAGAATATTCATCAACGGGGCAATGTTTCTTTTAAACGCCCATCTCAATTAGAAGCTGAAGGGCACTCACAGCTCCATGCTTGCAAGTCAACAAGGTATTGTGTATTAGATTTCCTCACTGTTTAATGTATTGTATATCATTCTTATACTCATAAATATGCTAATAATAGTGGGAAAAAGCTCAACTGCCCATACATACATTATTAAATACAACTTATATACATGAGGTTAAGTTTTTGACGTGTTGACCATATATGTGTCTCTAGCATTCTTCTCGGCTTAGGACTTAATTAGATTTCGTTGTGGATATGCTTGTCTTGATAGTGATACTTCAGGGCAGGTTTTCTATTGCAACTCACTTGAGAAACTTGCCTTTTTTTTCCAGGATGAATTGCACAATTTACATTGTGGGAATGGGTAGCACCTATACGGTTTCGTAGTTTTTTTTTATCTTGCTTGCTTGGTCCTTTTGGTGAAAACTTCAGTCATTTAGAGAAATTGGGAGTCATTTTCTTTTCATCGTTCATTGAGCCGAGGGTCTATCGGAAATAGCCTCTCTACCACCCAGGGTAGGGTAAGGTCTGCGTACACACTACCCTCCCCAGATCCCACTTGTGGGATTTCACCGGGTATTTTTTTTTTGTTGTTGTTGTTGTTGTTGTTGTTGTTGTAGTATCATACTATCATGTATTCTCACCTTTAGCTTTTTGGTGCTGACTAACCAGCCATATCATATACTTAATGATATTATGTTTGCTTCAAGAGGAAGAACACCCTGAGACGTGATCAGGGGCGGAGTTACAGGGGAAAATATGGGGAACGTGAACCCATGGTCTCTCCGCAAAATTAGATATTTTATGTTCATATTCTCTAAAATTGCTATAATATTAACTCTTGGCGCCTATGCTCCAAACATGCTGAATGGTGCACTTGGTTGAAGGTTAAGTTATTCACCAAGAGGAAGAGGGATCAATTCCCACTTAATACATTTTTTCCTCATCTTTTTAGTAGTGCACCATGTACTAGAAATCCTAGATCTGCCCCTGGACGGGATCTCGGTGTTTGAAAACCCTAGAAAAAGATGATAGATTTATTTAATTTAAAGAAGTATTACAATTTTTTATGCTGGCATGGTGATTGTCTCACACATCATACACAATGAACACGAAAACTGAAACTTCATTTTGCACTGTTCCTTTGATAAGATTGACACTTCACTCCAGATTTTGCTGCTAATTAGATATTCATTCTTTCAAGGATAGTTTATTGATTTATTATGTTGTTACTTAGCTGGCAATCTGGTGCTTGCAACTTGTTAGCAACTAGTTTTATGTCATGGGACCAAGTGATCAGTAGAGATAGCAGTGACTAAAAAACAATTAAAAAAATAAATAAAAAAATAGAGATAGCAGTATCATTTACTCCTCTTAAGTTAATGGGCATATACTCTGATAGCCCGCTTTTCCCTTTTTTATGTTTCTGGGTTGATTTTCAAATAGTATTACTTTAGTCTTAGTGTGTATATTCAGCATGTTTGATGTTCTTAAAAAGATATTTTTATTTATACATAGTTTGAGAAACAGTGACACCAGTAGCCAAAAGCTTTTGCCTGAAATGAACACATCTAGTGATGACGAAAGCAAGGCCCAACTACTAGAAGCACTTCGTCATTCTCAAACGCGTGCAAGGGAAGCTGAAAATGCAGCAAAGCAAGCCTTTGCAGAGAAGGAGCACGTCGTGCAGCTGGTATTTAGACAAGCATCACAACTTTTTGCCTATAAGCAATGGTTCCAGCTACTGCAATTAGAGAACCTGTACTTCCAGATTAAAAACAACAGAAACCAGCCGATATCGGCCATATTACCGGTAATGCTGCCATGGGTACCCCAGAAAACTAAGAGACCGCGGAAGAAGTCTGCTAGGGTCAAACGAGCCAAACGAGCCCGTTCCAAGTATGACTTGAGCAGATATGCAGTTGTTTTTGCACTGGGTTTGGGTCTTGTTGGTGCAGGTTTCCTTCTTGGCTGGACGGTCGGGTGGATGTTACCGACATTCTGAGCTGTATAGATTGTATCCAATTTTCCTGTTAATACTAGTTTTGTGAAGATTGGTCTACAGGGGAATTGACTGGTTGATAGGGTCTATGTTAGTTGTATGATGATGACGATCATTTCTCCAATTACTTTGGTCTCAGCTTTTAGTACTTGAAATTGAAACAAAACACTCAGCTTTCCTTCAGCTTGTACTTGAAGACAAGCATGTTATATATCTTAGGCATTATGTTTTTCCTTACCAAAATCATGGTTTCTATAGACTAGTTTTGTATTGTCTTGGTCAAGGAATCTTGGAAATAACTACTGGGCTCTGTAATTTCTTATTTCCTTTATACATATTCTACATACTAGTAAAAAATTAATGTCCTATTACCAGATTAGTTAGATTGAGCAATGACATTGACATATTAAGTACTCTTGTCCAAAAAGAATTAAACTATTGCTAATTGATAAATTAACTGTTTGTTCTTTGACTATGGTTTCTTCAAACATCTTAAATAAATTTGAATCATAAAAATTCATATTTTGCTTTTTTTCCCTATGGGTTTTATTATATTAGACTTGAGGTATCTAGTGATAGTCTACAGGACATATCTCTGAATTTATCTTAGTTGAGGTTCCCTCATTTTATTTTATTTTTGTTGTCAAATTCCGCTAATGAAAATCCTCTGAGCCACGACTCCTTTGTTGACTTGAAATGTTACATGTTAATCTTAGAGATTGATATATTTCAAACTAATATATAGTACACCTAAGAATACAAGCACCACATGCCTTTCAGTTTGTGACGGGGCGTATTACTACTTTCGACGCGAAGTATAAATTTATATGTAAAATTTTATTAAAATTACAATAAATAGTAGATATTATAATGAGTTCAATGCTAAGATCTTTAAGGTTGAACCCATAAAGTTAAAAATTTGGATTCGCCTCTATTTGTGACCATGTATTTTTATTGCCTGCGTAATTTTTTCTGTTTAGTTCTGAGTTTTGCAATTGTTCTTAAATGTATTTCGACAACTGTGATGTTAGTCGGTTGTGTTTTCTTTTTATATATATAATAATAATTTAGTTTATTACTTGTGTCATATTAGAAAAGTTGTTAAATTTAAAGCACGCACTTGTAAGTTTAGTTCTTAGTTATTGAATTGTCCCATTACAAGTATTTGTATTAATTACTCCCATAAAGGATTGCTAATGATTAGTATAGTTTCTAAACGTTACAACTATTTAATTTCTTTATTCTTGGTTATTAAAGAACTTCTAGGAATTGCCGTAACTTTCATAACTTTGACTTCCCTAAATGTGACATTTCTTTTTATACCAGATTTAACTTTTTTGTTTGGAAGCCAGAAAATATTTTTGTAGACGTATCACGAATTGTTTTTTTGAGGTGTCTGTTATGTGAAGAATAAAGCAGCAAATAAATATTAACTTGATGTGTCTTTTAACAAACCGGGGGCGCTACTCATTCTCCAACTGAACCTCTTGTGCAAAATTCTGATTATGCCATTTTTTCCTTAGTAAAATTCAATATCTTTTTCCATTCAACTTAGAATAACATGAAAATAACTTTGAAATAAATGTTGGACAAGTACATGGGCCAAGCATCAACATTATAGGCCGGGTCTCCTCAAAATAACCGACCCACTGAACTCGCAGTTGTTAACACAGCAGCCAGCATTTTTAGACTTTTCTGGTGATAGGAAAATCTACGGGAAGAAGATGGCGGTAATGGGGAAGTTGAGAATGTTCGTGGTACAGGAACCAGTCGTCGCTGCTTCTTGTCTTATCGCTGGCTTTGGTAAATTCTCTACTTACCCGTCGTAGACTCTATCACCGAATCTAGGATCTTAATTTAGTGGATGAAAAATACGCGTGATTACTAACTCCTGTAAATTATTTGATTGTTGATTCAGCAATTCTCACTTTGGGTATTCATTTCTCATATGGGCAATAATTTTTTTTTTAAACTCAATTGAGGCTCCAGGTAGCTCTTCATAGGTTATAATCACTGCAACCACGGGGAAAACTAGCTCTTCATAACATAAATAGTGGACCTTTAAGGTAGTGATTGGTGTCGGTAGGTAGAGGATCTCTTATAGAGGTTTTCACAGAAGTAGAAAATTGTGACTAATGGGATAATTAATGTACCTTCCTTTATGAGCCGGGTTTCTATTAGAAACAACTTCTCTACCTTCACTAGGTAGGGGGGAATATACTGGGTTTGTTTGTTGGGATAATGCACCTTCCCATCTTTATCAAGACAAGAACACAGCTTTTGTCCCAGTGTTTTGGTCTAGTGGTAAGTGCGTTGTGGATGATGTGTAGATTAGTGGTGTGTCACAGGTTCAAAGCATGTCGCAAACAAAACCTTGGTCTTTAAGTGGAGAAGGGTAGAGGAGCGAGCTTGTTATCTCGAGTTTCGAACCATGTCTCACTTGTCCTCGGGAGTTTCTTCGTTATCAAAAAAAAAAAAAAAAAAGTTCTTGTG